AAAAATATCTTTAACTCTGATTTTTTTTTTTAAAGCTACAGCTTCTCATTTCTGATCATAATTTATGAACAGCTGAGGATTTGATGTTTGCATAATGTATAGATAGGGGGTGCCCAAACATTTTCCCAGAGAGGGCCAAAATGAAAATCAGTTTGAGGGCTGCGGGCCAAATGCAATAGTACAGTATATGAAACGCAAATGCTTTTTAAGTAAAGCTGTTTTATTTTTTTATGATTAAGTTGGCAGCCAGTGGTAGGCCACATTTTGTTTTTTGTTTTTTGTTAACCAATGGACATGCAGAAAATAAACAAAATAAATCTTTAAAATAAAAAAATAAAAATCTGACATACACTTGAGCAGTAAAAGCTCGTGGGACTTTTTAAAAATAAAATTTGAGTATTTGTGGTCTTATAAATTGTTCAAATCTAGATGTGTGCTTAAGTCTAATCCAAACGTCTTGAAGTTGCTCGCATTTTATTTTTAATTTTGCTATAATTCAAAGATAAAGTAAGTGCCATGATGAGTTAAGACTATCTGCACTACAGCCCTTTATTTAGTTGGACTGATGGTTGGAATGACTAGGTGGAAATATAGTGTTTCTACATAAAACAGGAGAATACAACCTAGTAGCAGGACAACTGCTGGTGGGCCAAATCAAATGGCTTGGCGGGCCAATTTTGGACTCCTCTGGTATAGATCAAATAACCATTTAAGCATTCAAATGGCATTCAATGGAAACAAAGTAATATTTGACCAAGACTGTAGCAAAAAAACAAAAACATTACCAGAGTACTGAAATGCATTTAATTTTTTGGTCAATGGTGCTCAAAAACAACATGAAAGATTAGGATTAAGCACATTACACCTCAACACTGTTCTATTAAAAAAACAAACACCGTGAAAACAACAGAAGATATCCAGTGTCACCCCAAACATTTTTAAAGGCAAAAAGACTTTCTTCTGTTAAGATGCCAAAGACAAAGACAAAAAACAAACAAACAAAAAAAGATGTTCAGTTTTTTGGGGGTAAAAACCACCACAGTCCAAGTTCATTAAAACTGTACAAATGCTTATATCCCACTGATATGGGGGTCAAGGAAGGGACTGGATGATTATTATTTTCTCGTTAATGCAAAAACGGTGGAGCACACTGAGCAAGTTTTCCCCACACCGCGACACCTGCCTCTCCATGGCCAGACGAAAATCTTCCTTCACACCTTTGGTGATCCCTCGAGTCACTGTGTGGTGTCTGCAAAAGGAACAAGATTTAAATGTGTATTTATAAAATATATAAAAACAAGACTATGAATCTGTATTTACTTACTAAATCTACCTGATCTACAGTATGTAGTAAAGACAAAGTCATGGTAGCAGCACATTACTGTTGCCTTCCACAAATGAATCAATCACAGCCAATTTAGTTTGAACATGTTAAATATAATAAAGCAAAACCATAGAAAAACATGTCCACAAATGAAATGACATCAAGTATCATGAAACGGCAGAACTAAATTGATTGTACAACAACATCAGCCTCATAACAACAGTGATGACCACAGTAAAAAAGGAGTAATGGCTCAAAGAAAAAAAAATAAAAACGCCAACAGGAAATCAAAGAACGACTGACTCTTGATGTAAAAATGACAGGCCCAAACCAAAACTGGGGCGGGGGTGATGACAAGCCTTGAAGCTGGGTATGAAGGAAGGGTGACTGGTGTGAGGGGAGGGAGAGAAGATGGGGACTGTGGGAGAAGGGGCCTGGGGTACCTGTCCATTGTCTGCACCCCTTGTAGCAGAAGGGTGTTTAACTCCACCCCCAGGGCGGGACTAGGGTTCCTGAGGGACAGCAACATTTAACAACTCTGTCAGTGACGTTTCATCAACTGCTTCAACAACGAACCAAGTTTCACAACAACTTTTTTCCTTTTTTTTAACCAAGTACACCTYATCTTAAATTTTCCCCACAGGCCAAGTCTATGTAGATCATCAATAAATAGCAGTGTTCGCTTTAAAAAACAAAAACACAAAAAAACTGAACGGGAAAGTGCAGTTACCATGCCATCTGAAAAAGTTTGAATGGTGATTGGCTTACTTGATCAGCATGCCCTGATTCGGCAGCAGCTCCAGCTCAATCCTGCCCCCTTCTGGAGTGCGCAGGTAAGCAAACTCCTCCAGCATGTCGATATCTGAGTAAACAAATGAGATCAAGGAAAAAAAAGAAAAAAAAAAAAACATCCTGGCCAAGACAACACAGCCTGGGTTATCAGCATGATAGGTCAATATGTCCTTATCAGTTTCCGCCGTGCTGTGTTTGCATGAGTGAAAAGGATACTGGTGACGTAGTTGAAGAAGTTCTCGTATTGGAAACTGCCTTGCTGACAGATTTTGTCCACCGCCTTTAAAAACAGCATCTCGCCTTGCGGCCAGTCGTGCTGCAGGAGCACCACCACGTGGCCGAGCGACAGGTCGTCCCGATTGTCCGTGAAGGCTCGGAGCTGATTGAACCAGGCAAGACGAGCAAAACAAAAAGAGTTCTCAAACAGAATCACAGATGAATCACACAGATCTAACATATTAAAAGTACCTTGAAGCAAGCTAGCATCAGCTGCAGACAGAATGGTAACACAGCTTTGCTGGTGCAGGGAAGTAATCTCAGGTCATTACCTGGTTTGGAGAAAAAAAATAATAATAATTGAACCTTTCTATTGCTCATCTATTATAAAACTTTTATGTTGTATATTTTGTACGGAAAAATAAAAGTCATATGAAAGTCAAACTGCACCAAACTTATTTTATCTGTTATTACAGCTTTAAATTACTGAGTCAGAACCAACAAATYACAACACTATCTATGATGAAGACAATATCAATTTGTGTAAAAAAAACTGCTGACACAGTTATGTGTGAAGCTAAACAGAATCAGGGAGGAGGAAAAAAAAAGTACCTTTTCTCATTTTGTTTTTCACTCTGCTCTGATCTTCTGTGGATTTGATTGGCTCTTGGGTTGGAGGAACCAGTCCACTGACAACATCAAGCAGCTTCTCACAGGCCAGCTGTTTAACACGCATGGTTCAAAACATAAAATACTTGCATGGAAGGATTATCATCAGTGGTGGCAGCACTAATCTAAATATTAGTTGCACTAACCCTAAAGCACTWAGTCAGATATTTAAGTCCCCTAATTCTAAAGCACTAACACATTGAAAATTTTAGCAAAAGCTAATTCTAAAGCACTAAAATAATCCAGCTGACACATGAAACATTCTTCAGAGTCAACACGAGACAATATTTACTGCGTGCAGAATGCTGTCACTTAGTGCCCTTRGTGGGCCAAATGTGAGTCACCTGCAGGCCACATTTGGCCCACGGGCTTTTAGTTTGACATGTAACCTTAAAGATACATGCATATGAACAAAATGTGTGGCAGCTTTCACCCTCAACTGTGAACAATAATGTTCAATAATATTTAAAGACCTCAGTTAGTGCTTCTAAATTTAGCCTATAAATGTAACCAGTGCTAATCCACTAATAAATTTTAAAAATAGCAAAAGCCTTAAAGCACTAATAAAGAAATTAGTTCCCCTATTAGTGSTTTAGTGCTTTAGGGGAACTGTGCCCACCACTGGTTATTACATTAAAATTCAAGAAAATAAGCTGTGAACATCTTTAAGTTAAGATCGAACCAATTAGACTGACAATGACCATTTTCAGGGGGGGAAAAAGGTGATTATGTCTAAATAAATTAAATAATTATACACCTGTGAGAACATGTTTTACATCAAATCCTGCACATTCAAATATTCAGCAGCAGCAGATTTTGAAAAAAATCACTGACACCTTCAGCCCAAATAATGACGTTTCTTTTTAGTTGCAAAAAAAAAAACAAAGTTTCACTTGTTGATTTGGGGGAATAATAAACACGTTATTGCCAAAAGTGTCAAAACTGTGTTTGCTTGCTTTAAGAACAGCAGAAACAAACAACCTAGTTTTAAATACGATGAAGTACGGCACAGAAGTACAACTTAACTGAGTGTTTGGTCTGCATGTGCAGAATATAAGCACTGTGAAAGTAAGGTGGTGTGCATATGTTTACCCTGTACTCTCCCAGTGCGTAGTGGCAGGATGCCTGCTGGATGAAGGCCCTGTGGTGCTCCAGACTGCCCTGACCAGAGGGGCTCTGCTGGCCCGGCTGAGGCTGCTGTACTGCAGCCATCTGATGCAGGCTGGAGAGGGCCTTTCGATACTGGCCCTGGAGATGACAAGAAACACAGTCTGTATTTGTAAGGCCGATGTACCTAAATATGTATTCACATAGTAAGTTTTATTTATTATTTGCTCATCTTTAAAAATAAAATAAATTAAAATCTGTCCTTCTAAATCATATTCTTTGCAGCATTTCCTTACCCAAGTCATCATTCAATACATTAAAGCAAATTTTGACCAGAAAGTAACTCAGTGCAGCATAAATATTGATAATTTTCTTCATTAATAAAACGGCAACTCACATTGTAAGTCATTTTAGAGCAGCCAATTTAGCAACATCAGGACTTGCAATAGAATAATGAGAATAAAAACTAATCTAGCTGAGCAGACTCTATTATCATACAAAGCACAATTAAAAAGGTCACAGGTATCTTATTACAAAAACTGAAAAATTGTAACCTTACCTGGTATATAATCATGTCAGTGAGGAATATTCTGAACCACAGCCAGCTGTCTGTCTTCCATGCAGCACAGATTTTTTTAAACTCTAAAAAACATTTTAAAAAATCATCTCAAATGAATAAATTCCATTTCATCTTGAATTTATAACAACCTCAATGAACTGTGATGGTAGTTTAAAAGTTTACATCTTTTGTAATAGTGGTGGTAGATATTTTGTGACGCTGTAAAAAAATTCCTACAGTTTTTCTAGATGTCGACACAAAAACACAAACATTAGTGGTGCTTACCAACTTCCAGCCCGTCGTGGGCGTGAAGGAGGTCCCAACTTTCTCTGGCTGTGCGGAAACTCTCCAGAGTCTCTGACCAGCTGGGCATCTCGGTCTTGTTGACTAAGATGTGTCGACCACGGCCCTTCCCCAAACCTTCCTCATCATCTGAGCTCTACAAAAATGGTAAAGAATAGTAAAACACACTGTGGTTGTATAGTATGAGCATTTAAAAGTATATGTCTGAGTGGACATTAAATTACCCCTTAAAAAGAAATGAACCAGACACAGACATAAGTATTCAGTTTAAAACAGTTTTCTCTTTGCAAGGAGTGAGAAGTGTCTGAGGACGCTTAAAGACAGGTCTCAGCAGAAAGTTCTGACCTTGGCTGGGAAAAGCTGTACAATTTATTACAAACACAGCACAGAGAAAACATCTTGACCAATCACAGGGTTACTTCTTATCAGTTAGCGCAGCTCAAAGCTGCAGGGATGAAAATTATGGCAGCAAGAAAGACATGTTTAATACAGTCAATTAATGCAATAGAATCAAATATAAAAAATGATTAAGTTTAAAAAATATCTATCAATATGTGTGGTGTTTTCAAACTAATTTGGTCATTTTTGGAGTATGAGAAATATTGTATAAAAATAAAACAATTTCTATTCAGATGTTACCATTGTTTTCTCTCTCCCATCTGCCAGTTTGCGTTTCTTATGTGCGTGTTTCAAAGTGCCTCGATCCATCTCCAAATCACTGTACACTGAACTCAAATCCTCCACCAGGATCCACGGCCCCGAATTCATCGCACCGACCCCTACAAACAGAAACACCAAAAATAAATAAATAAATACACGAGAGGTCCAAAACCAGTAGAATTAGGAATACAGGAACAAATTGTGTAAAAGCCAAAGCCTGACCCTGGAACAGTGCAGGTTGTACAGCTGAGACGTAGAGGAAAGCGCTGCGGAAAAGCACGAGCGCTGCACAAATGACCACCTGACTGCAGCAGCGAGACCTGGTCTCTCCTTCCAGACTGGGCAGGTACCGGCACAGCTCCTTCACTCTCTGCAACATGTCCACGTAACTCCTAATAAACACGATACAAACAAAATGAACTCCTTTACAAAGATTATCATCTAAAATAAGAAAACTGAGCTACCGTGATTTATGAAACACTGCAAGGCTTTTCAATCAGATGTGCGACAGGCAGATKGATAAGTTTACCTCTGCCCTTTGTCTCCCTGCCACTCGCAGCGTGCACCAACCACAGCGACAATATCAAGCAGCCTCTCCCACGGTTCTGCTACCACTGAGGATTTTTCTGACAGGCCATCTATCACGTATCGCTGAGAGCCACGAGAAATGCCAGGTGACTTTAAAGTCCCACTGTCTTGAGTACCTGAAAGACATTTAGGTAAAATCAGAAAGGCACTGAACAGAAAACGAAAGTAAAAACAACATAAAAGCGTGGAAATCTTGGAAGTGATTAAACTGGGTTAGATAGTAAAATAATAATAATTTTCTATAATGTCAGCAGTGTAAACGTACCTTGTAACTGGACATCAGGTGATGGTCCACGAGTCACATAGCCAATATAGAACTCAGCAGCTTTTAAGATATACTTCTGCATTAGGCTTGTTGGCAGGCGCATGTCCATGTTGTTTATGACCAAAGGAAGGACATCACACACTGTAAAAAGAAAAAAATATATGTAAACAATTGCTTTGTTCTATTATTACTTTGAATTTTAACATTGTTCACTGACCAAAAAGCTTTCTGAAGCAGTTGACTGGCGTTTCCACATTCTCCGATGCCTCCGCGTCCAACAGTGTCTCTCCTAAATTAACCTAACAGTACAGCAGACCGTTAACCTTTAACAAATTATACTGGAGTCACATCTCAAAAACACCCGAGTTAATGTATTACTACAAACCCCATGTTGAACCACAGACTCTGGAAAACGCTTCAAAAGGAGCAACAGCATCTCTGCTTTCTCCAGAGTGTTAAAACACTGCTCTGTGGCTTTCAGTAGCATTTCACATTGCACACGACCAGGCAATGTCTCAAAAAGCCCTGGGTGAAGACAATAAAACGTGTTGGATGTCTCTTTTGGTGAAACCAGTTGCGATGTGCATCAATGAAATCAAAAACTCCACTTACCCCTAAGAAACTGTGCGTGTTTGTCCTGCGAGTCACTGCGCAGGGCAGCTGTGATCACACTAATCTCACGCCAAACTATGGGCTGMTCTGGAAAGTTTATAAACCTGCAGAGGTGAAAGATTATTGCCATTTGTAAAATAAATAAATAAGTAAATAAAAAATGCATAACAAACAAAAATAAAATAAAAACAAACAGCCTCAACACGAGAACTTGTCTGGACATGAAAACACTGACACACAAATCTGTCACTCACATGTCATACAGAAGCCTCCCTGCTGAAGCCGTCTTCTCTGCATTGCGTTCAATGATGTACATTTCATACTGTGAACAAAATATCAAGAGATTTGTGATGGGGCTGTAATCCTACTGTCATATCAGCATTGAAGCAATCAATGCTGATATCTAAAATTACCTGGATGCTGAAGTCTGTTGGGTAAAGGGTTCTAGCTGTTATGAGCCAGGCTTTGGCAGCACATGGATCTTCAGAGACCAAATCTCGGGCTGTTTTTACCAAAAACTCGCAGTCTTTTTGCGCTGACATTTCACATTAGTTAAATTTAGTTATATTACCACACGCAAAAATAGGCCAGACTGCGGTATACAGCATGTAKTTCCTTTACATGCGAAAGCCTTAGTCAGAAATTAACCTGAAAAGCGGTTCTCTGCAAGTGTTTTGACACAATTATTAGCAGCATGATTAGCAGCTAGCCTTCTGTTATCAGAATTTCCATTGAAAGCTTTGGGAGAACCATTCATCTAACGGCACACTATTTTTCAACAATCTTATAATATCACATCTAAATGTAATAACTACACAAAGCAAAATAAAAACCTAAACACCCCTGAAGACTTGTCAAACTACGGCTAGCTTAGCTTTTATGTCCCAAAGCGTTAAAGTTACGACACCTCTACGTCACGTCCTGCTTTACGACGGACGTTCAAACATAAAAAAAAAAAAAAAATGAAAACAATACAGTCCATGCGTGTGTGGGCCAAATACTCCTAGCTTGTCGGGCACCACATCGTATAAACATTCAAATGTTAAATATCTGAAATTTGTAGCAGCTTCAAGTGCATGTTTTCAGCACACAACAGCACTGCGCATGCGCAGTCGACCCATCGCTGTCACCGAGTTGCTGCTCGAGCTTCACGACCTACAGCATTGGCCCTGAAAAAAACAACAACACTCATTCCGTCCAGATCAAGACAGCGCCTGACTTGTGCACTCTACAGGTAAAGCCTCGTTTATAAGCTAAACACTTGCGTGGCCTAAACTGAAAACTGCTCTTTTAGCTGCTGTTATTAACAGCACATAACCGTTTTGATTCTGTACAAAGCTAACTTAGCATGCTAAGTAGTTGTTGACTGTGAAGATTTACCAAAGTCCAATTCATAATCCTTACACACGTGGCTAAAATACAAAACTGACAGCTCTTAACAGTGAAATAAGCATGTCACTTGTAGCACGGAGCTAGCTGTGGTTGAGTTGAGCAGCATTCTGTTGAGCTGAGGGTTAAGTCTTATTTTTTTTACCTCCTCTTTGCTTCCTTGTTTGTTTCCTAAACCTGTTTAGCTGTTCTGGTGGGAGGTGAACTCATGGGCGTTTATGGGCGTCTACATAGCACTAAAATAATGTGTAATAATACTTTTCAAACACTAACCATTTCAGTAGAATTTGAAAATCCATATCTGGGACCAATAGTGTTGCAATTCAAAGATTTTGCTGACATTTAAACACGTGTCAGTCTGATTTATCATATTTGCCTGATGCTGTGTGTAAAGTTTTTGTTTCACCACTAGTGTAACTTTTCCACCACCTTGTTTTTGGCTTAATAATCGAGTAAGTTGGAAAGCAAGTTACTTGATTACTGTACTAGGTGGGATTACCTTTTAGATTGTCTTGCATTGTTGATTTGTTCCTTTTAATTTGGTATTTTCCTTTGCGTACCAGTAGCTTTTTTTCTTCATATTAGCAGAGTGCATTTAAAAGGTAATAATCATGTCATGTACAGGATTCCTGATCCATATTTAGTGTACTTTGCACAACTTTGTGTGTCCAAGTAGTTACCGTCAATGTCCATGTCTAAGGCCATCGCTTATCAGGCCATTGTGAAAATAGTCTTATCAGCTGACAGTTGAAGCAGTTTGTTTGTACAAGTCGAAGGCGCCAGTGGTTGTAACAGGTCAATCTGTTTTAGACAGGATTTCCTATCAAAATGTTAACAAATTATAAACACAAAAGAGTTCAGATGTACAATAAATTAATGTTTTATTACAAGGTATACCGAGAGTAATTTCCGTTTAACGAATCACAATATTTGCAATGAAAAGCATGAGGTGTTAAAATCCAGCCCTTGTTGAAGCTCTGCAGCTGAACTTCACAGTAGAAACATCTTTGTTGTTTGTGTCATTTAATATAAAAAAAAACAAATAAAAGAATAACAAGGATGGATGCTATAACAGACTGCAGGTCTAGAAGAGCTCAGAGAGTTCTTCCTGCAGCTGTCAGACAAAACAGAACTTTCAGCCGCTTAATACCAGACACACACATCGATGTGGCTGGCCCACGTTTGCCCGATTACCCACAGAAATCATAACAGAAGRTGGTCTGATCCTGCAGTCATAATAKAAGTATTCTTACTGCAAGCTGAAACAACATTTTGGATTCACATGTACAAAATGTTCTTTGCATTTACACATGTATCTCAAAGGTTCTTTGGAGCACAGCATGACATTTTTTTTTTTCAGAAACATCAAAATTTATGTGTGTGACTATTAGCTTTAATATTTCTTTCTAGTTCGATTTACACTTCTATAGTTTTTATATCAAAATCTAGGTATTTTTTCCTTATCTTGGATTATTAATAGGGATGTCTCGATCAGATACTCAGTATCAGTATCGGTGGCAGATATGGCCATTTTTTGAAAATCGGTTAGAATCTAATTTAATCGTGATCGGGTCGATCCAGTTTTTGCAACAGTTTTCAGCATTATCATGCTTTACAACTGTTAAGAAGTCAAGACGCACACAAGTGTGCAACCATGTCCACAGTGTGGGAACATGTTTCAATGGAAATAATGATGCTGAAACTGCATCTTGCAAAATCTGCAAACTGGATGTTTCTCGTGGTGGGAACAGCAGGGCTCGCTTTAATACTACCAACCTTGTCACTTGGAAAGAAATGAAGAAATAAAGCTGTCGGATCGGTATCGGATCGGTATAAGAAAGACTAATCATTAAAAAAAATCGGATTGTATCGGGAGCCAAAAAATCTGGATCGGGACATCCCTAATTATTCAAACGTTATCGTTTAATTTAGAGCTTAGGGTTAAGCTAGTTTGTAAGAATATATTTCCATCATAACCTTTTATAAGTTTATAAGCATGCTGTGGTCCAACCCCTTATAAAAAAGAAAAACCTAGATCCAGGAGTTCTCACCAACTACAGACCGATTTCAAAACTTTCTTTTTATCAAAGGTTTTAGAAAAAGTTGTTTTTATCCAACTCCAAGGTTTTGTACAAGACAATAATAGTGGTGAACTGTTCCAGTCAGGTTTTAAATCCCGCCACAGCACTGAAACAACCCTTTTAAGAGTTTTTAATGATCTTCTTTTAACAGCTGATTCAGGAAGCTCTGCAGTTTTAGTGCTTTTAGATCTTTGATACCGTTGATCATAACATCTTACTGTCACGATTAGAGCAGCTGGTTGGTATCAAAGGCACAGTTTTATCCTGGTTTAGAGCCTTCTTAACAAATAGGAGTTTTTCTGTTCATTTAGGAGATTGTTCCTCCTCTACAGCTCCTCTGACTTGTGGGGTCCCCCAAGGCTTTATTCTAGGTCTTTTGCTTTTTAATCTTTATATGTTGCCTCTGGGGTCCATTTTTAATAAATATAAGATCCCTTTCCATTGTTGTGTTGACGACATTCAGGTCTCCCTGCGTATCAAGCAAGGGTTGATTAATTTATTCAAATCACTCCTGAGCTGTCTGAATGACATAAAAATCTGTCTGAAATTAAATTTCCTGAATGAAAGTAAGACAGAAGTCATCAGCTTTGGTAAAGACATTTCTTCCGACAATGTTGGTCCTTTGGCTTCATACAGCTGCTCTGCTGTCAGAAATTTGGGTTTCATTTTTGATAATATGTTTAAATTGCACAGGCAGATAAACTCAGTGGTGAAATCAAGTTTTTTTTCCAACTAAGACTTATTGCTAAGGTGAAGCCATACCTCCCAAACAAAGACCTTGAGAAAGTGATTCATGCTCTCATCACGTCTCGTTTGGATTATTGTAATTCTTTGTATGTTGGTTTAGATAAATCTTCTCTGCATCGATTACAAGTTTTCCAAAACGTAGCAGCTCGTCTTTTAACAGGAACTAAAAAACATGAACACATATCCCCAGTTCTGGCTCCTCTCCATTGGCTTCCTGTTCATTTTAGGATAAATTTTAAGATTTTATTGCTTACTTTTAAAGCTTTTAACGGTCTGGCCCCATTCTACCTGTGTGATCTCATTAACATCCACACTTCTGCACTTCGGTCATCCAACCAGTTCTTAGATGTTCCTAGATGTAGGTTAAAGTTTAGAGGTGATCGGGCCTTTGCAGTCTCTGCCCCAAAACTCTGGATTGATTTACCTCAGCATATGGACTGCTGAGACTGTTTTGAGACTTTTAAATCTCTACTTAAAACTCACTTTTACTCCCTGGCCTTTCATCCTGGGAGGGTTTGAGATTCTTTTAATGATAATGTTTTTAATGTTTTTCTGTGTTTTTTAATTGATTTTACTGTCTACATTTATGTGTTGCTCAATTGTTTTATTCATTTGGCTTAATTGTGAAGCACTTTGGCCAACTTCTGTTGTTNTTAGATCTTTGATACCGTTGATCATAACATCTTACTGTCACGATTAGAGCAGCTGGTTGGTATCAAAGGCACAGTTTTATCCTGGTTTAGAGCCTACTTAACAAATAAGAGTTTTTCTGTTCATTTAGGAGATTGCTCCTCCTCTACAGCTCCTCTGACTTGTGGGGTCCCCCAAGGCTCTATTCTAGGCCCTCTGCTTTTCAATCTTTATATGTTGCCTCTGAGGTCCATTTTTAATAAAAATAAGATTCCTTTCCATTGTTTTGTTGACGACATTCAGGTCTCCCTGCCTATCAAGCAAAGGTTGATTAATTTATTCAAATCACTCCTGAGCTGTCTGAATGACATATAAATCTGTCTGAAATTAAATTTCCTGAATGAAAGTAAGACAGAAGTCATCAGCTTTGGTAAAGACATTTCTTCTGACAATCTTGGTCCTTTGGCTTCATACAGCTGCTCTGCTGTCAGAAATTTGGGTTTCGTTTTTGATAATATGTTTAAATTGGACAGGCAGATAAACTCAGTGGTGAAATCAAGTTTTTTCCAACTAAGACTTATTGCTAAGGTGAAGCCATAAAGTGATTCATGCTCTCATCACATCTCGTTTGGATTATTGTAATTCTTTGTATATTGGTTTAGATAAATCTTCTCTGCATCGATTACAAGTTGTCCAAAACACAGCAGCTTGTCTTTCAACAGGAACTAAAAAACATGAACACATATCCCCAGTTCTAGCTTCTCTCTATTGGCTTCCTGTTCATTTTAGGATAAATTTTAAGATTTTATTGCTTACTTTTAAAGCTTTAAACGGTCTGGCCCCATTCTACCTGTGTGATCTCATTAACATCCACACTTCTGCACTTCGGTCATCCAACCAGTTCCTCTTAGATGTTCCTAGATGTAGGTTAAAGTTTAGAGGTGATCGGGCCTTTGCAGTCTCTGCCCCAAAACTCTGGATTGATTTACCTCTTAGCATACGGACTGCTGAGACTGTTTTGAGACTTTTAAATCTCTACTTAAAACTCACTTTTACTCCTTGGCCTTTCATTCTGGTCGGGTTTGAGATTCTTTTAATGATAATGTTTTTAATGTTTTTCTGTGTTTTTAATTGATTTTACTGTCTACATTAATGTGTTGCTCAATTGTTTTATTCATTTGGCTTAATTGTGAAGCACTTTGGTCAACTTCTGTTGTTTTATATAAATAAAATCGACATTGACATTAACATAAGTAAAACTTTTTCAAATGTAACTGATTTGCAGTTTATTTAAAGGAGAAAAACAAGTGGTAAATTTGTCATCATCTCATTCTAGCTTTTGTTTTACAGCCTTTTGCAGAAACTTTAAAATGCTGAAGGATCAGGCAGTGCACTGAGCCTCCCATGGCTGCCAGCACCATGGACTCTGAGTCAGCCCGGACACCCCGACCCCAGGCTGCCCTTACAAAAGGAGGTCCTTCCCTGCTGCGTGCTGGGCTTTTGAGTACCAAGTTGGGTCCAGAAGGGAAGCACTATGTCTGTGGTTCCATTGCTGCTTTCACTAATATTATGATCACCTTCCCCATTCAGAAGTTGCTTTTCCGTCAGCAGCTGCACGGGGTGTTGGTTACCGAGGCCGTGCAGCAGCTCCAGCGGGACGGGCTTAGGAATCTTTACCGAGGCCTGCTCCCCCCTCTGCTTCAGAAGAGCACCACAGTGGCCATCATGTTTGGCCTTTATGAGGACTTCTCTCGAGTCTTACTGGACCATTCCGGCGGCAGCGGGGTGCCAGTGCTCGTCACCAGGAGCTTCGCCGCGGCGCTGGCCGGGACCGCCGAGGCCGTCCTCACGCCGTTCGAGCGCGTGCAGACTCTCCTCCAGGACCACCGGCACCACGGGCGCTTCAACAACACGGCCCACACTTTCCGGACGCTTCTGACCGAGTACGGCGTCCGAGAGTGCTACCGCGGCCTCGTCCCCATCCTGCTGCGGAACGGCCCCAGCAACRTACTCTTCTTCGGGCTGCGGGGGCCGATTAAAGAGCTGCTGCCAGAGGCCACTAGCAAGGCGGGTCACTTGGTCAACGATTTTGTGTGTGGTGGGGTGTTGGGGGCAGCTCTCGGCATTATGTTTTACCCATTAAATGTGGTAAAATCCCGAGCTCAGTCTCAGGTCGGTGGAGCTTTCCAGCCGTGCAGGACAGTGCTGCTAACAGTGTGGAGGGAGAGGGGTGGCAGCGTGGCCAGGCTTTTTAGAGGGGCCCACCTCAACTACCATAGATCCCTTATCTCCTGGGGGATCATCAACGCCACYTACGAGTTCCTGCTTAAGCTCTTGTAAAAGGAGGAATGGATACGTTGTGATAAAGAGAAAGCACGTTGATAGTAACTGTTCAGAAAGAGGAATCCATATCGTTCGGCTTCGCTAGTGGGACAGAAATCTCATAAGTGATGGAAGAGAAAGTATAATTCTGACAGGGGCCTGCAGTTTGTAAAATAATCACCTGCCATTGTTACCTTTCAATGTTAGTGTAAAAAACAAACAAACAAGGCACACAACTCAGCCTTCACAAATCTTGTGCCGGGGTCCAAATGATAAACCCTTGTCTGCTAACATGTACCAAAAGGTGTGATAGCATGGGAGTTAGTTTGTTTTTTGTTTTGTTTCTTTTACAGTTTTAAAGAGAGATTATCTGATTTGATAAACTGCTTTACGTTTATGTACTGTGGTGTTYTTGAAAATTACAGCCATCTGTTTAATAGACCAAGCGTAGTTCTCTCTGTCGAGCTTAAATTCTGCCACTTTTGTCAAAGATCAACCGACAAACTCTCATCCCTACTTACGGGAGCACATGCTAAACACCCAAGAAGACAAATGCCTGAGAAATGGTTAAATAGAAACTTCTGGAAAAGCTAAAGAAAAATAAACCAAAATTTWAAAAAAAGGCAGGGTTGAACAATATTTATTGTCATACACGACTCTTCTGTGTAAAATGTAGAGGCAGTTTTATCTTGACATATTTTTCTCAAGTGCTACGGGAAAGGTGTCGTTTTTATGTGCCGGCAAAACAAGCCACACCCACATTTTCTGGTTTGAGAAAGTTTTTAAATAAAGTACAATTATATTTAGACTTTACTGTAACAAGATGAAACGTTGTTGATTTTGATTTTCACGATGGCGTATTTTATTTTTCTTATTTTTTTTTTACCAGTTTTGGTCATTGACGGTCTCTGCTCCTGCTGTGGTGTTCCCTCCCCTCACGCTTGCTCTCCTTTCTGTCCGTAACATCTGTTGACATAATGGGCTCAGATTTCAAGCTCGAGTAGATGCAGTCGCCACGCCACAGCTCAGAGCGCCGACGACGAGCCCAAAGAGGAAAGGCACGCTGCTCGGATATTTGAGACTGAACAGTGGTAGCGAGCGGAGACAAGGACAGAGGGTGATGTTCAGTGGCACAAAAAGCTCAAGCTGCCGTGTAAATGAATCACTTGGCCTATTTCTTGAATTCTTTTTTTACTGCCACAATTATTTTAAATTACATAGTATTTTCTTTTGACATTTCTACAAAAGCAAGGTTTTGTGCAATGTTTTTACAAACGAAATCTTGCTGGTGTTCAGTTTCACTGTTTATTGTTTTCTGAAGAATAAGTTGCACATTGCTTTTAAAATGTCAAATTAATTGCAGCCACATCAAATAAAAATACAAAGAAATGTTACATTGGTGTCAGTGAGGACAAACTTTATTGTTTTCTAATTTAAGGGGATGTATCATGCAAAATCCACGTTTTTAGTCATCTGTGGGAGTGCAGAAAAGTTGAATTCAGTCTCACCTGGTGCTGCGTAGATATCTTTATATTCTGTTTGGGTCATATTATTCAACTCGTTCAGTTTTCTGTTTTTTTTTTCTATGACGTTTTCTGAAATATGTCAGAATTTGCAATGGTACTGCCAAATAAGGTCTCGACTTACCAACTATAATTTGGTCGTCTTCATTCTCCGCTGACTCTGGGTCAGACTCCAACGTGTGAGGTTGGATGGACAGGTCTTCTGTTGTTGACATATTTTAATTAATTTGTAAATATAAATTTTCTGTGCTACTATATAGTCGTAAAACCCTCTATCAAACTAGAATGGGCCATTTTGGAAGCTGGAGGAAGGGTGGGGTAAAAAAAGACAGCCTCAAAACGAGTTGATCTGAGACAAACCTCAGAAAAGGAATCAGAGAGCGGCTTGTGGAGTTACAAAACGGAAGCCAAAATATTGCAGTTCCACTTTCTATAAACCCCAACTGAATGGTTTAAAATGTAAAATGGAAGGATTTAAAAGCAGGATATGTCTCCTTTAAAACAAAAATGTTATCCAGGTAGTTACTGAATGATTCCGGTGTGACGATTGTATCCGTTTTAGGGATGCTCCGATATGAAAATTTCAGCCGGTATAGATATCCGATATAATTATTGCTGTTATGGCCGATAACCGATGTTTACCAATATTACACAAACCCACAAATTTTTTTATAAGCATATACACACAAACACACTTGGGTCTTTTTTTGATACCGTAAATAAATGACCAGACCTCTGACATGGCTCTGTTCTTCAGTTATTCCTGGCTGCACAGCTTCAATATCACTATCATGATCAAACAGATACCACCTGACCAAACATTTCACCTCCCAAAACAAAAACACAAAGCTAAAAAGTGTGAAATCAATATCGGCCGTTAATATCGGCCCAGTTTTACATATTGGGCCGATACTGATATTCTAAAAAAATGACCAATATCGGCCGATACCGATGCTAATGCTGATATATCATGCATCCCTAATCCATTTGGTCATGTTGCACAATATTGACTGTAATCTGCCCTTCTCTGGATATGTGCTTTTATACCTTTTTGCAATCCATCACGCAAACAGCTTCACTATAACGATGAGTTGTGATGATTTAGTCATGAYAAGTGGAGTTACTTTAAAGTAATGACGCTTCTGGCAACAAGATCAGGCTGATAAACCGGGGGCGTTGCTGAATGCTGCTGCATCAAGAAGTCTGACTGCAGGTGATCAGATCAATGACAGTTTGATGTGGGGACTGACTCAAGAAGGGTTGAGCTGCTGTACTTACAAAGCCTTTCAACTCCTGTTTTTTAAACAAGTGGTAATCGCAAGGTGAAATCTCTTCAACACGGGTAAACACGTCAACCTCACGCTACCAAATAAGGAATAAAAATGCCAAAAAAGAGGAAAAGAACAAGAAACACTAGTACAAAGATAAACGCCGGCTTTGTAGACGTGCAGCAACTTATAGAGAAAGAAATCCCCCACTAATCCTCATTAAGAGGTTCAGATGTGCCAAAACCTCGCAGCAGTGCAGTTTGGATTCAGTCTCTGCTGTATAAAACATTCTTGAAACAGAGCCAAGATTTGTAGTCAGAAATTCTCCAAGGCTGTTATTATACCTCAAGACTTAAGAGTACATAAAACTGCACACGTGTATATTTACAACTCTGACCAAAACACTCAGTAAACCACAACTATTTAAGGTCAGTGTGTCATTTATTCCCAAATGTTACATTTTCATGTTACATTAACTTTGTTGTAAGGAAAAGTTGTTATGTAGAAAGTACGAAACTGTTCGGTTTATTGTACAAAGAGAAGATGGTGACACAGGCACTCCATGTTATATGAGCCTGCCTAATAAACGAGACAAAAAAAACACTCATAAAGACATCACAATGGGTTTTTAGGTTAGGTCTAGTTCTGTGTGGGACAAAGCTTCCTGGTGTCGTGGCAGCTGGAAAACTGGCCTCAAACAAGAGTCCTGCCTTTTTCACCTTAAATATTAATTTAGTGATGTTTTGGAGGATGAAATACACCACCTCTCCTCACCAGCTGTTTCTGAATACTTCAGTGGTCTTCATTTTGGCTAATCCTCTTAATTTTGTACAAACAACTACAGGCCGATTAGGCTTAAATGCCTGCTTGTCGAAGCACAACCCCAATTCTAAAAGGTCAAGACGCATAAAATGTAAATAAAACAYAATACATAGATTTGCTCATTTGATAAATGCTCACTAAAGAGCAGTGGACAAGGCTGAAAGTCAATATTGGATTCTCTTTGGGAGATCTGGATTAAAGAGGAGGAACCATCCAGCAATCAGTTCAAAAGRCTGCCTCTCTGATGGTATAGGGGTACATTAGTGCATATGACGTACAGGTTAAACATTTRTTTTAGAACAACATATACTCCCATTCAGTGTAAACCAGGACTGTTGAACAGCTAGAATCCTGTATTGGAAAAGAATGGAACATTCCCCTCTAAAAACTGGTCTCCTCAGTTAGATGTTTACAGGCTCTTGTTAAAGGGGGATTCTTCACAGTGGTAAACATAATCCTTTCTCCACTTGTTAAAGATGTGTTGCTGCCATCAAATTCTAAATTGCCTTAACCGAGTTTAAACATTTGATACATTTACTATGTTCTGTTGTGACTAAAACTAGTTTAAAATTTAAATATGAGATTTTAAAATTGCTTTCTGTTTTTATTTACATTTTACATGTCCTAATTTCTTTGGAATGGGGGGTTTAAATCCTTCAAGTGAGGTGTCAAGTTAAATGGCAAGCTGTTTGAGCAATCCATTTAGTAACAATTCACATCAGTATAAACACGGGCCTTTATAATGACCATGCTAACGCCATGCAACTTTGCAAAACACTGCCATCCATAATGCAGGCATTTTTGTAAAAAAGAAACCCAACAATTTCGCCAACATTCCAAACAAAGAAAGCACCCACGATATTAGAAAAAAATGCTTTTGCTTTTGTTTTTAATGTCAGCACAAAACAAAAAGACAATGTGCGATAATTGATGAGTTCATGTTTGCATAGCCATAAACGAAAGTTAGACAGGTTTAAACCAACAGTTCTGACTTAAGCAGTCTGCTCAWCTGTCACTGTGTTAATAATAAAGTGGTATCCTAGGAGTAAACAATAGCAAGAAACAGTTGTGGCTCAGTTTTTTTACATATATACTTTGGATCTTTGCTACATCTGGACAGAGTTAACAGTCTCCCTTGTGCCACRTCACAGACATTTTCAACTACATAAATAAGGTCCATTGTTTTGCTGCCTGGGCCCCTTGCCATCCCCACATTTCCAGAAAACGTAAATATTTGCATGAAAATGCTGTAATACTGCATACRTTTGGGTAATGGGAGTATTTCCAAGACACATTTACACAAAACAATATGGACAAGAAATGGGGTAGAAAAACTTTTTTTTTTACACAAGGTCACATGTCTCACAAAAAAGGTGCAATCTGTAACAGTCAAAAGTGCTCTACCTGCTGTGTAATGGTGTTTGTATTTCCACATTTGTGACTGTAACGTTAAAAAGCTGAATACTTAAAAAGGTGCAAATCCTACACAAATAAAACTTTTACCATATTTCAAAAAAGTGTGATAAAGTATATCCTCTGTATTTAGTCTGTAAACCGCAATAATAAACTTGAAAATGACAATTTACAGATTACACCTTGTAGAGTGGCAATAACTTCAATGCAACAAAATAATAATAACATAATACTGTCTCAAAGACAAGGGAAAATAATTCCAGTGACATCCATAGTTTTTTTTTTTTATGTTTTACTCACCGTAGACCTGCATGTTGCAGATCATGGTGCAGCAATAGTAAAAATAAATACATAAATACATACATGGATAATCCATCCATACATCACATATTGTATCATAAAATAAAAGAAATATAAGATAATTATAAAATTTGTATGCAAAAATGCATAGTCCATATGCATTTCATGGAAAGATGCAGAGAATAGACCTTTTATCTCTTCAGGATTATGTGTCGTGTTGGTGTGTGTGTGTGGGGGGGTGCTGTGAATGCATGTGGCACTTGTACAAAAATACGAGAGTCCCAGGTCAGGTCGCTCTGTGCTGTTTCTTCATATCTCACCTCTAGAGTCAGTTAKATGTTCACACAGGTCAAAAATTAAGAGGTACGTGTCCAGGCGTGTCTGTGGCTTCCAGTGCGGGTGTCCGGAAGAGTTGTGTAAGTGCGAATACCGATGAGATGAGCACAGTGCAACGTTTAGCAAGCAACCTCACTCCGTCCGTCTCTCCCTGACCCTGTCCCGACCCAGACTTATTCCCGACCATGACACAAGTTCCGGCTGTCTCAACCGCCCCGACAAACTCTCGATACAGACCCACTATCTCCTTTAGCTTTTCCATGGGCTGCTGCCCATCATCGTCGTGATCCCTGTGGACCTGCCTTGATTTCTGGCAGATGTTACAACCAGGACAGGGGTTTGTCTGCAGGCAGGCTGCTGTCAGCTGAACCAGTGCACTGAAGCTGTTGGATAAAGAACGGAGCGCCTCATCGGGAGCCCAGCCCACCCGTGTGGCCCGTTGACACCCGGATGCCAATCGTCGAGCCTCTGCTTGGAGAAGACTCCTCTCCGGCTCCGTCATGGTGGCTGGACTTGCCCCTGTGCACATCTGGCTTCCTATCAAGGCAGCATTGTCTTCAGTTCCGTTGTGATTTAGGTCAGGCCCTACTTTTACACCTGTGCTGTCTAATTTTGAACGTTGTTGTAACTGATCCAGGGTTTCCCTCTCTAATACCAAAAGAAGCTGATCTATATCTTCACGTAGAGAAGCAAAACCCCCCTTTAGCCCTCCATAGTTTTTGTTGGTAAGGGAACGAAGGGGACCACCAAACGAGGTTGTGGAGGAAACTGGACAGGRAACAAGAGGACTGAGTTCAGAAGATGTAGTGGAGAGTGTGGACAGTGGCCGTGGGTTGTCTCTCAACAATGACAGAATATTGGATTTTGGTGAGGGTGTTGTCGGAGATGGGGCAGAGGCAGTTTGAGCAGGTTTGGGGCGTATGCGGCGGGAGAATTCATAGACGGTGAGCTCCTCATCGAAGCTGATGCCATCCTCGGTGTCTCCGCTGAAGCAGTTGGCGTAAACAGTGCGACAGCCACAAGCCTCTCTGTGTTGCTGTGGTGGAGTAGTGTCTGCTGCCGAGGAGGTGGGCGAGTCACCGCCGATCTGCATGTTAGTAACACCTCCCAGCCCCACAGCGGAATGAGGACGTGACTGTGGCTGCTCGGACGAGACACTGTCACTGTGCGAACTGCTCCCTCTAAAGCTCAGGTTCGGGTGTGAGCCATTTGTTCCATTGGCCTTTTTCATATGTGAACTTACGTCCTGAGCCTCCTTGATAGTTGCAATGACAACCTCGGCTCCGTCATCTAAAATGTTCCCTTTGCTTTCGGATGTTAAGGCCACTGTCTCTTTGTCCTTGACAGGGGTTTTATTTAAGTCTGATAAACCACTTGCAACAGACAAACCAGACCCAAAGCCTGATGTGTCACCATTGATGGAGCATGTGGAGGGATAGTCAGGAGTTCCTAGGATCTCTTGGGAGCGAGTCATGTACCAAGGCAAGGACTGGATCTTCCCTCGCAAAGCAGTGGCTGGTAGTCTGCCTCCCAGGCTGGAGGAGCTAGTTCTCAGGTCGGACCCTGAACCAGATCGTCCAGGTTCTTTACCTTCTAGGTCCTCGATGCCTTTAGAGATAGCTGAGATTGGGGAGGTGGTGATAGTGAGCGGTGCGTCTGAATTTTTTGGTGATAGGCTCTCATGACTCAGAGAGACCCTCCGGGGTCCTGACTGGATGCTACCATTGCGGCTGCTCCAAGGGTGGATTCCATTTGGTGGTCTGACTGTGTCTTTAAATATCCCTGTGCTTGGGTCAGTGGGGGAAACGGGCGAACTAGCAGGTAGTGACAATGGGTGGAAGCTGATGGTAGAAGGAGGCTTGGGGGCCACTGGAGGAGGAACGGTTGGCTTTGTACCTGAATTAGACCGAGCGATGGAAGGTGGGTTTGGTGCATTTTTTGTCATTTTCTTAGTTGCATTGACCTTCCCCTCAGCTTTTGAAGTTTCCTTTTCATTAGGAACCAACACTTTATCTTTGGAAACATGTGATCCATTTTCACACACAAGATTTTTATTTAGTTTTGGGGTGTTTTCTTGTCTTTTTGTCTTTTCCTCAGATTGCAGTGTTGTAGCTTGTTGAGACTGTTTACTATTCCTCACTGCTGTGATCAGGGATGACGACAGAGACAATCCACCCAGTGTAACAGATTTAAACTCCATGGTGTCTGGTTCCATTTCCAAGAGTTCAGAAGACAGATGTCCAGAGGCGTCCCCATTGCACTGGGCATATGCTCTTCCATGTTGGGGTGACTTGGGAGGAACTTTCTGAGGTTTGGGAGGCAATTGGGGCTTAGGTGCCAGTGGTGGTTTGATCTTAACTTCAGGTTTCTTTGAAAGGCTAGGTTGTTTGTTGTTGAGTTCAATTGCTGGCTCTTTTAGTATCTCTGATTCTTTTGTAGTTTTATTGRATTGGGTTTTATTGGCACGAGGAGATGATGGTTCTTTTCCAGGGGCTGCTGGAAGACCATTCCAGGTTCCACTCAAGCGATTAGCATTTCGCCGGTCAGCTAGTTCAGCATCTGTGGGAGACAAAGAAAATAAAACAGAGACAACATCATTTTATTATCACAATGTTTATCTATTTCTTTAACTAACAGAAAATTGCATGTATAGATATATTTTCACCAACTTCTGGAAAGTTACACAACAAACCTGAAAGATCGGGGACTGGTGGCGTAAATCTCTCTCGTGCATCAAAAAACTCATCTTCTGATTCCGAGACATTGTCCTTTAGCAAAAGAGATGGTTTGAGGTTGGGTGAAGGAGTAAGAAATAGACCCTCTTCATCCTTCGACAAACGATGTTCAGCTTGCCCTGCTTTATTTTTAGGAATGGAACTCGTCCTTACTGGGACTTTGGGAGGGGTCTTCTTCTTTCTCCTAATGGGCAATCTTTCAAAAGGTGTGCTGTCAATCATTCTCAGATCTCTAGAGCTTGGGATTTTAGAAATGCATCTGAGTTTCRGGACCCCCAAATCTTCTTCCTCCTCTTCCTCCTCCTCATCATCATCACTTGTGGCCCCAGAAGGGCTAGACAGAAAATCAGCCTTGGAGAGCTCAGCAAAGCAGAGACAAGAGTTATCATTGCCGCGGTAATTCAAGTTGGTGGGTCGCATGGGCCCTTGACGTTTTGGCTCCAGGAGATAGGCACGGTGGCCATCCGCATCTGAAAGATCCTCGCCTGTGCGTGATCCATGAAGAGGATCTAAGCGAGACGCAGTTTTGGCTGCGGCGCTGCTTTCTTCTAGGGCAGCACTCAAAGAGCTGCTGGACAAGCTGGAGAAACTGCTGGTGACTCGCGGGTCCGTGTGGTACCAGCTGTTCCTTTCCTCATCCATGACTTTGAATTTACGCAAACAACTTCCTGTTGCTCCTTCTTCCTCACTCTCATTTTCTTTGTCTTCTGTTGTCACTATTATTTGAACTTCCTGTTTTCCTTTGTACTCCTCTCTCTCTCTCCTTTCTTCCTCTTTTCTCTTTACCTCCTCTTCTCTCCTCCTTTCCTCCCAGTCCTGACTTGCTGGGTCTGGGCCTTTGTAGTTGTGAGAATCCATTGGATCGTCTTCATCTGTGGAGTCTTCTGAATCACTGCAGCAGCGAGACACATAACCTAAACACCAGACAAGCACAACAAAGAGTCTTTTAGTATACCTGTTGAAGAGAATTGTGGTTGTATGCTATAACAGCCTTTCCTGATCATACCCGTACTGGTTGATGACATACATCGACATGTAATGTGATGTAATAAAGGTCTATCAAAATGCCAAAACCAGAAAGTGATTGTTTTAAGTGCTCACTTGATAGGGATTCATAGCACACGCCCTCTATTACGGCGAACTTCCCACACACACCTTCTTCAGCAGGAATCCGGTGCACCCTCACTTTTGGGCGCCCCAGACGGAAGACATTAACACTTGGATCCACCAGGAGTTTGCAGTAGCCTCCCAGTAGGCACCCTAAGTCTTTGGCTGCCTGAGAATCCATCAGTAAGGCAAATGGCTGAAAGGAGGAAGGGCAGTGTAGAAGATAAAGGTAAAGCAGTTGTGATTAAAGTCAAAGGGTAAGAAGGGAAAAGCAAGGAAATGGGAGAAAGAGGGAGACATGGTCATCTTTGTGTCAGTGAATCAGCAATGCATACAACAACTCCCTTAGGCTGTCTACTGTCTCATTGGAGGAACAATACTTGGCCTACATTTATTATATCATAAACCTTTGTGCACAGATAGTATAGTGAGTGCACTTTCTTTTTTTAATCTATGTCAGCTAGGAATAATCGAGTATCTCAATGAACTCATGTCTTTCATACCTTCATGTCATGTAGTGAAATGCGCAGCAGGCTAACTTTGTCCGATTCTGATAACAGCTCCACTCGACTGATGTTGCTGAACTCGACCAGCGTAGAGATCACRTTGAGCTTGTGGTTGATGACCTGGCTCATCCCATACTTGGCACCAACGAGCAAGCTGACCAGCACTTCCCTGTCCTGTAGCTGAGTTTAGAGGGAAAGTAGAAAAATGCTCAAATAATTAAACTACAGAGCCAACAGGTTGCAAAAGATGTTAATTCAATGTTGAATTATGGTCAAAAAAGTTGATTTTTGGATAAGGCAGACGATTGAAGGTGAATCAACCATCAAACGATCATCCAATTCTAGCCAAATAACTAGTGTTGAAAAGATGTTGTTGAATCAATGTTTCATGGTCGAATTTTAAACGAGATCATTTGAAGCAGCCATGTCTGTGAGAAATGCAAACATTGTTGGAGTTAGATGATATGTTGTTTTTGTGTTTAATTGTTCAAAAGTACCCTACACTTCTCATATCCAATGATCATTTGCTCTTGGTTGCCCCGCAGTCCAGGCTAGTCCACAGAGGTGATCAGGCCTTTTTTAATTGTGGCTCCTAAACTGCGGAAACAGCTGCCCCTTCCCATCAGACAGGCGCCAACTCTTAGTGTTTTTAAATCTCATCTTAAGACATATTCATTTTCAAAAGCCTTTAATTCAGAATGGGAGTTGACTTTTCCTCATCTATGGTTTATCATATTTGTTTTTATGATCTCGTTTTGTCTTTTTATTATTTGTAGTGTGAAGCACTTTGGCCAATGGCTATTTTAAATGTGCAATACAAATAGAGTTGATTTGACTTGACACACATTATTATTATTATTATTATTATTATTAGGTGTATGTTTATTCCAAAGAGTATACCGCCATGGTTCTTTCTAACGGTTAATTTTTCATAGTACCAGTATTTGAGTTGATACTGAACTTCCTAGGTGTGTGTCGGTAAAGTTTTCCAGACTCACACCATTGTTCCTGAATGTGACATAAGTCAGACTTGTTCCGTGGCAAAGGTACAGGRTGAGAGAGGAGCCTGTTTTGAGTGTTGAGCTTCTTATAAAATAAAGCTTTCTGGACAAAGACAGCTCCAGTCATCACCTGTGTCTTACAGCTGCATCACGTAATGCTAAGTGTGTGTACTATGTGTCTAACCACAAGTGACTAAAGTAGGTAATTCATTCCTGTATTAAAACAAAATAAAATAAATTCAAACTTGTCCATGTAAACAAATAAAAGTCTCCATATGGAAATTACTGCAATAACTATCTCATGGTCATGAGTTATTATCTCATGGCCACAAGTTGATATATTTAATTTTTATTCACTGTCACCGGACAAGCTCCATAAACAGTTACTGGTTTATCAATTTAAAAACTGCTTCTCTTACCATCATTGTAGCTGTGTAAGATCGTCCTCCATAAGAAATGAGCTCTCCAAGCTGAGTGAGGTAGGCCAATCGAGCCTGAGAAGCTGATATCACCTAAAATTGATATAAAGGAAAAAGTAGAATAAAAAAAAAACTCCCACACACCATTCACTGTTCTCTGAACCTGCTTCCATCCCACCTCTTTAAACTCCTGGGAGATTAGCAGTCACTAAACATCAGCTAAAAGTGTCCTAAAGCTGTCACTTTCTGTTTTGTAACGGCTTTTACTGCTTCCCTACGCTCAGCTGTCAATCCTCATACACTGTACCTTCTGGCGTGGTTCCAGCAGAGACTGGATCTTTTTGAGGTGGTAGCTGATGGCTTTCCTCAAATCCCGTTCCCTCATATTGCTCAGCAGCGTAGGAGAGATGAAGCTGTCCAGGCCAAACTCCTTCCTGCCAACAATAAGGACAAAATTAGAACGGTGGCTGCTGAAACCAAAAGGATAACACTTTCATTTTACACCAAAGTAACAAAACGTCTCAGTAGAAGTGTTATTATTGTATAGAACAAGTTGGTACCTGTTTTTGAGAAAATTGTTGTAGTTGCGAAAAAAAGCAGCTTACCGTAAGTCACCAAACTGCTAATTTTAACTAATGTTGGCCTTACATAAGATAGTTTGTTTGATTCTCTTTGTTCTCATATCATAAATCCCTTAAATTGATCCTAAAAAATGGAAACACTTTGATGTACGCCACTATTACAGCTTGTCCAAGCCTATATTCAGATTATTAAATGAAATTAAGTCTGGGTATGCAAGGCTTTGCCTATTTTTTCCTAATTCACAGTGTGAATTATGGAAACCTGTCCAAACACGTTATTTTGCTTACATAAAAAAACTGTTACAGCAGACAGAATCTGGGATACTGTATTAATTTATCCAGTATATTCATGGGGCCGATGGAGACCTAATAATAGATAATGTAATGTAGAAACTAGGTGAGACAAAACCCAGCAAGTCTCCTGACAAATAAGTGCAGAGATATGAAAACTTCTCAAATCCCACAGATATTCATACACTCTAATATTAATATTCACATGAACACAATGCAATTTTTTTAGGTGAAATCAAGGAAGTATTTTTTTTACCCAGCCAGCTATATACGTTTTTTTTTTACAATAACCATTGAGCTCAAATTGTTTTTTGTAGTCATCTCACTTTATATAATTTCAGTTTTATCACACCTGCCACTAGGTGTTACCAAAGTCCACATTGAAATTGACAATTTGGTTTCAAGTCAGAGTCATTAAGTTGTAAGTTAGAGCTTATATTCTCAAAGGCTTTCGAAGTTTGAGGTTGGAAAATCCTCTTTCATCCCTTTGTAAAATAAATCTGCTGAAGAAAGTTTTTTTTAAAAGTAGAAAACACAAAATATTTATGTCTTGTGAATATTAGTTTAAAAGTGAAAAAGAATAAAACTCAAATGTCCCTTGGCTAATTTATGTGTTCACGTKTTAGAAACTGATTTTATACTGCATGCTGACTTAACAGCAGCAAGTTAATCATAAATCAAGTTGCTCAGGAGGAGAGTAGGTGGTTTGGAAACTTTGAGCTCTGAGTTTCACGCACAATTTTCCACTCTGGATCTGTGATCAGTTGATCACAAAAAAATAAAACATTTTAGTAACCTGTCTTGCACAGAAAATTACAGAAATGTGCAAAAGACAACATAAGCATGATTCATTTCTTTGGTCTTGCCTTTGTTTTATATTTTTATTTATTTCATAAGACTTTTAGATGCAATTAATTTGCTGTAGACATTTTTTWAWKGKTTWAMYTKKTTTYYTTTKKYYTWMMMCYTTTTTTTTCWTTTCTTAAGCATACACTGAACAATATGCTGTTGTGGGCAGGTACAAGGAAAGGTCTAAAAATAAGTAACAAACTAAGATTCAAAGAAAAACTTTAGAAGACCTTCAGAAAACCTTTAGAACTATTGATCAAAACCACTTAAAAACAAGAAYGTCCACCCTCTTTGAAGCAAAGTGTAAAATATATAAGCACAATATACTGTGTTTTAGTTTTTCTTAGTTTTAGATAGTCTCATACCTTTACAACGAAATGCCTAATTTTCTCTTAAAGCAACTCTTTACCCTAAAACATACATATTTTTAAACTCATAGAGGTAGAGGTTTGTTCCTAATGAGTAAAGGTGGGCCTATAAGTTGGTGATTAGTTTACAGTCATTACTGTACACAGTATACAAAACATTATCATTTCATTAATAGATTGGGTTTTAGAGAGCACCTTCATTCCAGATAAATTATAATAAATGCTGCAGCAGTGGAGTGGAGCTTCTCACCTCC